AAAGGTTTTTATAATACTTAACCTTTAATTACTTAGAGGGCTTTATGAATATATATCAACCAACTTATTTTTCAAGTTTATAAAATAAATTTCTACAACACCGAGTAATTTTGTTCTTGAGTTTTATATAGGAATATTAATTATATAAATAGCAGTAGTGTTTTCACATATTAATTGCATCTTATCCACTAAAATTTTACTTTCTAGTAGACCATGAAATTAAAGGTTGTGTCACAAATTGGCATATTCTAGTTGTACTCTTTCAATCAACCTTGTATCCCACAAAGTTAAATACAAAATAGCTGATAAAATCAATTGATGTGTTAAAATTTAAGTATCATATTTCTAAGATAGAGGTGCCAACAATAGAACTAATGATGTACTTTCATTCCATTAGATGTAATTCTTTCGGATCTTCAATATTGAACATAATGTTAGGTCCACTTATCAAAAGATATAACAATGATCCAATCTTACCTTGACAAATGTTTATATTTATAAGCTTGATGTTGGGATCTTTATCTAGTTGAGTGTTCTAGCTTATGAGAGCATTCATTATCTTATATCATTCCATATCAATTTTTTTATTCATTTTTCATGTATTTAGATTGACATAGGAATCTCCTATTTTTTCTTACTTTACTTAAAATCCTTCGAGGTATGTTTTATCAACATTGATTTAAACAATTAAAATATCACATCTAGATCTGCTAATAAATAGTGCTATGTCATCCCCTTAATAATTTTGTTTTCTTTATTTTGTAAAAGAAATATGTTATGCCTATCATACTAAGTCCTAGGGTTTTTCTTCAATCCATATATAACATTCTTAAAATTTAACATATAATCCTGATGGTTTAAGCTTTCAAATCTAGGAGGAATCTTAACATACATATACCCATATTTTACTCTATTTAAGAAGACACTTTTTATATCGGTTATTGAAAGTCTACCAATAATCTAATAGCTTTGATACAATCTACTAGTTTAAAAGTTTCTTCAAAATTAAACCCTTCTATTTGACTTTTTTTTTTTTCCTTTAATCTTGCTTATTTCTAACATTTCTTCCAGAATTATTTAGTTCTTATGTCACTCTTATTATATGATCTTGATGCAAACTCCACCACTTCGTTCATAACAAACTGATTTAATTTATCATGCATATTTATAACACAAAATTCATTGAATATTATCTTAATTTTACTGGGTTAAGTCAACGATAAAAATATATTATGGTTCAGTTCCTATTTAACTACATTATAGCTTGCACTCCTACAAATTAAGGGGTCTCTTATTATATGGTATTTAGGATGAGTAGACACATATTTTCACTCCTAAGTAATGATTCTATTTATTTTTCTTTCAACTTTCTATTTTCCAGGTTTGTAGAGACATCAACATTTATATCAAACTAATTAACTTGTTCATTTGTGTGAACCATCAAATATCACATAGTACGACTCTTTCATAAATAAAGTTCTTTTATCCATATATGATTTTTGAGAAGATGAATACCCTTAAAATTTTTCCTCATCCAATTTTACATCTTACTTGCCTTTATTTTATTTTTCATTGTTAAGTACAACTCAATTGAACCCATAGGTTAGGTGTTCTACCATTAAACACTCTGTAAGGTGTTTTGTTCAGCTTATGATAGATATTTGCTCTATTTAAAAAATATTAGTCAATGTTTAAAGCCCCAACCTAAAAGTACTTGAGTGTTTTATACTCATGTAATATAATTTTTGCAGTAAACTAATGTTCAATTCTTTGTGATAGCAATACCATTTCATTAACTGTCTTAGGTTGAGAGATATTATATATACTTTTTAGTTTCTTAAAAAATTGATAAACTTCTCATTTTCAAATTCTCTTACAAGATTACCATGTTAGAAATCAAACATCCTATCTTCTTAAAATCAAAATTACAAATATCTTGAATTGTTAAAGGAAATCACTCTTGTATGCTAAAAACTTAAAGGAAATCACTCTTGTATGCTCAAAAGTTCACTCCATAACCCTTATCAATTCGACAGAGCCTATGTCCATGTTTGCATATCTTCCACACCTAAGATTTATCATACAACCTACACTAAAAAAAGTCACTACTTTTTCAATATATAGTGAAGCTCTTATAAAAAACTTCTCTCCATAAACCATCATACAAAGGCAACCTCACATGAGTATTCTTCTCTAGAATACTCTAAAGAAATACAAGAAAAATGAAATAGAAATTAAATAATACAAGAGAAAAATGAGTTCTTGCACATAAATTTTCAAGAACATGAAGAAGTAAAGTACGTCAACCATTAAATCTTGAAGACCAATATCATGACACCATTAAATCTTGAAGACCAATATCATGACAAGAAATGTTTAAATCTTTTGGAAATCAACCGATAAGAAAACTTTCTTAAAAAAATCCTATAATAGGTGTGACGATTTAATTTCATAAAGGTAACTTGGGTTTAAATGAAAAGAATTGAAGGCTCTAAATTATACCATTTAATTTTAAGGTGCATATTATTAAGAGATTTTAAAGGTACTATTAGCATAGATCATAATTATTAAGAATATAGGTACTGTGATGAGTTTTATATTAGTTTAATTCACTATTAGATTAATATAACTTAAATTTTAATTAATAAATTTTATATTACTTATATTTAAAAATAAATTCAGTAGATTTAAAGTTCATTTAGATCATACTTTGAGCATGTTAATTTGACCCAAATTTTCATTATGATTTTTATGCAATAATGTCAGGAAAATAATTTTTTGTATAATTTTTTAACCTTGGTGCATTCTTTTTGTTGATAACACTAGAGAAGGAGTTGATGAAAACTTGAATTATGAAGGTCAACCTTAAAGTCTAAAGGTTTTTTTTTAGTATATATAAAACTAAATGCATTGAGTGTGATTTTAATGATAATAGATCCAGTGGTAGGATTATGACATTGGGTGATAAGTTCATTAAAAGAGTGGTAAGTTCAATTTAAAGGGTGATAAGCTCATTTTAAATATATCGAGTCTATTGTTCAGTTTGATTGTGAAATTGATGGGGATATTATTAGTACAATTCAAGTTGGATGATTGAGATGGAGGAATGCAATATTGGGCCTACTATATGATAGAATAGTACCCCTCAAATAAGATGATAGTGAGAATTGTAATGCTTTATGGCCTTGAAGATTGGAAATTATAAGAGAAACATAAAATTATATTAAATGTTATAGAAATTAGGATGCTTAAGTGGATAAATGGTTTTAAACTTGGAGATAGAATGCAATAAAACTGACATTTATGAAGTAGCAATGCTTGCAATTAGGAAAGGTCAGCGCTGCCATGTTGAAATTTGTGCTTCGACGTTGATCGATATAGCGCTGCAGCGTTATTCTTTTCAACACTACGACAATTTGTAAATTTTGCTTTTTCTTATATAATTCTTGTACAAATACTTCTAAAAATACACATTTTTACTAAATTTAACCTAACTAAAACAATGCACAATTTACACTTATCAAATTTCATCAAACTATGTTCACGAAATATTTGTCATTATGGAGACAATGGTCAAACAATGACAATGTTTAGTTGGATTTTTTTTAAGACAATGGTCAAACAGTGTCAATGTTTGTCATTATGATATTGAAACAATCGAAACGTCACTTACAAGCTTGTGCTACCTTTGCTCTTCCAAGTCCATCTGATTTTCATTGTCTCCTCTTAGGCTATTTTACAAAGAATAAAACCACAAACAGTAATCCAACTATAACAAAAAAGGGAAAACTATCCTCTCATGGGACTTGAAAACATATTACGTTTTAGCCAAATCTATAATGGATAATATCTTAAAAGGCAACACTTAATGTAGTGGAAAAGCATGACACCAAAAGACACAACTTGGGCATTCTATGACAAACCTAATGATATCAACCTTGTGGACAAGGTCATTCTATAGAGAATGGAGGGATTAACGAAAAGCCGAAAATAAAAATAACTAGCTTGTTTCACCAAGACAAGCACAAGGAAGACATATTCCATAAGGTTTTAGCTTCTTTGATGAATTTCACAAAAATAAATGATAACATTGTGTATTATTAGTGTTAAGTAAACATAAGTACATATAATTGTTTCACGATGTTATGCATGTTTAGGTTAGACGTCTTATTTCATTTGGTGAGTTATTTTGGTTAATACGAGCTATGGGACACTTTTCCTGATATCATCGGGGTTTAAGAATATATCATGGTGTATTTACTTAAAAGGATTAATAAAATTATACTGACTGTTTTCCTACTTCCATCATGTTTATCACTATTCATAAAAAAAAATAACATTATAAGAATTTTTTATAATCTCTGGAATTATCTTTTACCGCTAACATTTATTTTAATGTGTATTTCTATTATGATGTCTTTATAAATTTTTTTCTCATAGTAATCAAAGGCAAATGTCTCCTTCAACCCACAAGCTCTCCCACAAGCTCTCCTTATCTGACACACAAATCAACCATCATTTTCCTCTCTTTGACAAACCAATCCCCCATCCTCTCTTTCTCTTTGTACATTTCTTTTTGTAATCCATACTAAGTACTATTAATCAAGGTTGATTGATTGTTCTAGTGATTGAAGATTTTACTTTATTTAATAAGGGTTTAAAAGTGAGTTATATGCTTATGATTTTCTTGCTCAAATATTTAAAACAAGAAAAAAAAAACACTTTTGATTTTACCCCTTTTATTTTTTACATATCTATCTTTACAAAAAAGAAAAAAAATTATGGAAACTTGCTAGTTTAGTTTTTTTTTTGTTTTTTTTTTTTACATTTAGGTCCATTAAGACAAATTCATACAAATAAGGAATACACAAAAATTTGATTCCAAGACCTCTTAGTTGGAAGCCTAAGCTCTCAACAAAGAGACAAAGATGAGTTAGTCTCCAAGTGTGCTTCTTTGCTCCGACACCTTTCAATGCGGTCCCAATCTCGTGCCATGGGCTTACAAAAACTGGCATGTAAAACTGGCATAACGGCTCTTTCAAAGAAGATCCTACGCCTGCTCTATATAATCTTATTTTCGCCGCCAAAGAACTATTTCAAATACTTTCGCGCATCATCCCCTCCCAAACATGAGGTATGAAGGGAGGCATCATCAGAAAAACTGTAGCCTTATCATCCGAGCAACACCTCCATCAAGTCAGCTCATCTTGTTCCCTCCCATTCCTCTCTATCCTAGAGAAATGTTCAGTCTTGAAGGACGTGAAGAAGATCCACGCCCATGCCGTCACATGCGGCCTCTCCCACTTCGCCTACATCACCAGTAGAATCCTCGCTCGTTACGCCGACACCGGTGAAATGGACGACGCATACGAACTTTTTGATAGTATAACTTCTCCCACTATCTTCAATTGGAACACCATTATCAGGGGCTTCTCGAAGACCACTGAAGCTGAAAGGGGCCTACTTGTCTTCATCAAAATGAGGCGCAGCGCGATCGAGCCCAACATGCACGCTTTCCCCTTCGTAGTCAAATCTTGTGGTGCTATTCTTTCTTTGTTCCAGGTTCACGCTCAGGTTTTTTTGTTTGGTTTCAATCTTGATGTCTATGTGACTAGCTCCTTGATCAGAAGATACTCCAATTTGGGAGAGGTGGAGCTCGCTCACAAGGTGTTCGATGAATGCACTATGAGAAATGTTGTGTGCTGGACAAGCCTTATTAGTGGGTATTGCAGCCGTGGCCTTTTTGACAGGGCAAGACAAGTATTTGATGAAATGCCTGCGAAGACTGATGCGTCTTGGAGTGCTATGGTTTCTGGTTACGTGCAAAACAAACGGTATGAGGAGGCCATAGAATTGTTTCTTGAATTAAAGGTTTCTTTATCTGTAAATCTTAACAGATCACTATTGGTGAGTGTTTTGAGAGCTTGCTCTGCTCTGGGAGTTTTTGAGGAGGGGAGATGGATCCACTCGTTTATAGATGGCAAAGGATTGGACTACGGGCTTGAGTTGGGGACAGCTCTTGTAGACTTCTATGCAAAATGCGGATTCATAGAGTTGGCAATGAAAGTGTTTGACAAAATACAAGGTAAAGATGTGACAGCTTGGAGTGCCATGATTGTTGGCCTTGCTATGAATGGTCACAGTCGTTTTGCAATTCAAATTTTCTCAGAGATGTTAAGAAGAAAACTTAAGCCAAATGCCATTACGTTCATTGGATTACTCACAGCCTGTAATCATGGAGGTCTGGTTGATGAAGGGACTACCTATTTCAAGGTTATGGATTTAGTTTATGGGATTCCTCCTTCAATAGAGCACTATGGCTGCATGGTTGATCTTTTAAGTCGAGCAGGGAAGACCAAAGAAGCCGAACAAATGGTATTATCCATGCCAGTTGAGCCTGATGGGGCAATATGGGGCTCACTGCTTCATGGTTGCTTTGTCCATGGAGACAATGAGTTAGCCGAAAGAGTTGGAAGCCACATTATCAAGGTAGAGCCAGAACATTATGGGAGATATGTTGGATTGGCTAATGCATATGCTGCCATGGGCAGGTGGGAGGGAGTGGCAAAGGTTAGAAGAGTTATGAAGGAAAGGGGAGTCATAGCCACTGCTGGCTGGAGTCTTGTTGAGGTTAATGGGACCGCCCATCGATTCATGGCGAATGATATGTCACATCCTATGCTTCATGAAATCTATGAGATACTAAGTGACCTGACATCGGATATGATTTTGAATTTGTGATAGACATTAATAGAGTAATGGTCGCGAGTTAGGTTTTCAGTTGGTCTCCTGAATAGTTTGATTTAGATCTCATTGTTGTGGGAATGTGCCAATACTGCAACTGGATGTCTGATAAGATTTTTTAAGTATAACAAGGTGAGAGGATTCTTCTTAATCAGCTTAAACTTTTACTTTTATTGGATGCTTTAAGTGGTTTGTTCTTTTTTTGAAGGATTGCATTATTGTGTTACTATTCTTATGTTAATATACACAACAAACATTACAACATGGTTTACACCATAGTTAAGAAAATGATAAAATAAAATAGGTCTCACTATGGTTTACACCATGTTGTTGTTGCTATGGTGAGCATGAAGCTAAAATGTTGCACAATGAGAATTTCACTTATTGGTTTACCATTAAGGTTAGCCTTATGATATTAAAGTATTTACATGATAATTTTTACTTAATACTTTAAATAATCTATTTTTGGTTTACATAAATTTCTTCAGTTGATGCATTAGATGATGGTGACACTATTATGGCTTATTTGAAGCATTTAGCTAGAGGTTAATGCAATGTTGTCACTCAATACTAGAAGTATCTCATCAATGATTTTAAATTTCACGTTGTAGATTTAATGAAAAAAGAACTCAAATTTGTAGAGTGATGGTTAAAGCTATAACTTTAAGCTTTGCTAGTATCAAAAGATAATAACCCTATTTCAAGTAATTTAATATACTATGGGGTCATGAAAAATATAATTGAATTGGACTACACAGCAGAGCAAAATGTTGTGTTATTTGAATGTAATTAGATTTTTAAAGGAAACATGTTAAAGGAGGATGATGATGACTTCATATTGACTAATTTCACAAGCATAAAAAAAACGTAAAAACCTCTTACATGGTTCTCAAGTTAAACAAGTTTTTTATGTGAAAGATTCTGTCGTTCCTAGATGTTTCATTGTTGTTACAACATCTCCAAGATATAGTATTGACTATATTCATATAGACATTGATTTTGATGACTAACATAATAAAATGTCTACAAAGCAATCTTACATCAATGAGGAATTGAAGTAAAGTTTATTGTTCATATCATTTAGTTTTTTTCTTTATCTGTTTTTCTTGGGAGAAAATTATAGGTCATTCACCTACATGAGCTGAATTGAAATGTTTGAGAAGGTTTACACAAAAGATGGGATTCCTAATAATATTGAGGTTGGTGAGGCTTTGGTACATACATACAATAAGCATTTATTATCTTATAGAATATACAATTGCATATGTGAGGTAATCCATATTCAATATATATAGGATAAAATGAAGGAAACCATATGTCAAACATTTCAATCAAAAGATGATGTGAAACAATCAATGGAATTACAAGATTTTCATAAGAAACTTGTTTAGTAATGAAATTATAGGATTATTGACTTGCTTCAAGTATGCGGTTACACGCTAGATTAACATGACAATCCGAAATAATAACAAGAAAATAAGAAAACAAATATGCGTTTAACGATAATCCGTCACTTAACAAAGAGAGCTTTCACCTCAGAGTTTCCCTCTCAATTGCTCGTTGGAAGTAGGGTTAGTGGAGGAGGAATGTCAGCAGTCCGTGTGATGCCACTGAAAGACATAGGATGCCGCAGATTTGATCCACGGGAAGTTGGCCAGAGTTCGAGAGACGGGTGGTCGTTCGGTGATCTTCCACTGTCCTATATATCGTTGTTCGTCGATGACGTCCACCAAATGGAAGAGAATTCGCTTTACATATCCCTTGACGATGCCTTCGGATCCAAATCCGGGGTTGAAGAAGGGTGATTGAATGCGTCAATTTCCCCTTAAGAATTGTAGGCAAATCCGTGATCAACTTCCGGATCTGCTATCCATGAGCTTGAGATTATTTTTTTTGTGGTGTTCTTTCGTGGATCCGCTGGTTGGGAGGAGTGGAGAGGGGCGACAGAGAGAGGGGGTCGGCGAGTGAAGAGGAGAGGAGAGGGGAGGGGCGGGTAGAGCTAGGGCTTGAATGTGGAAAAGGGATTATTAGAAAATCTGAAATTAATTCAGAATTTTCTAAGGGGGAAGGGAGGGAATAATTTAAATTTCAAATTATTCCTAAAAGTGTAAGGGCGACAGTTTAGGAGGGGATTAGGGAGCTTTAATGGAGAGTTTAATTTCATCAAACATGTGGGCCCCAAGGAAGGAAATAAAGATTTGACACAAATCTGAATTTAATTTCAGATTTGTTTAAATTAGGGAGGTTTCCTAATTTAAAATCTAGCCTTAGGAAAGAATTTGAATTCAATTGTTTTAATTGTATTCCAATTAGAAGCTTTCCTAATTAGCCAAAACCTATTTTAGAAAAGTGATTAATGGGTATTTGAAATTTGAATTTCAAATTTGGGGAGCAATGGGAGGGGCCGGCAGTTTGGACTTGTGGAGAGGGGCGGATGGTGGTTTGGATGCCGGCGGCTGGAAGGGTGATGGCTGGCGGCTGGAAGGGTGATAGCCGTGTTGCGACTCGAGCTTTCGATTTTATGATTTTGATGATAACAAATAAAATTGATTAATCTTTTATTTCTCGTAGTATTTGTAGTGCATATTTGTTTGTGTGTTGACTAATATTTCAGGTACATCATGCACCGTTCTTTGAACATTCAAGGCTCAAGATTGTGTAGAACTGGTTATATTAAACGAGTCTGTATTTTTCATTTCTTGAGTCAAGTCTTGTAATGATGTATGTTAGTTTGTTGACCAAGCACACACACAGAGGGAGCAAAAAATGATTTTAAATATTTTAATTTTTTTGTATATCGTACAGTACAATCTGGATCGTACTGTACGATCAAGTGTAACAAAAATTAATTAAAATATTTTATTTTCCTGAAAAAAATATTCTTAAAATATAACTAATCGTACTGTACGAATACCACATCGTACTGTACGATCTGTTATAATTAGAAAGCCCACCGTCCATTAAATTAGGCAGAGATTTGAATTTGAAAAGTTGTTCTAATCGTACTGTACGATCATGATCGTACTGTACGATGTTTGAAATATTGCCTAATTTAATCCTGTGATTATTTAATAAAAAAGTATTGATTTTAATATTTTGAACATACTGTACAAACTGGATCATACTGTACGATCAACAGAGATTATTTTGGCATATTGCCTAATTTAATCCTGTGATTATTTAATAAAAAAGTATTGATTTTGATATTTTGAACGTACTGTACAAACTGGATCATACTGTACGATCAACAAAGATTATTTTGGCCATCCCATGCTTTGTCCTGGACGAACTGCTCGTTTATTGAACTGTTCGTAGAGCACATTATATAGGACATCGTACAGTACGAACTTCAACTGAACTGTTCGTACAGTACTAACTGAACATTGTATAGTACTAACAGGTCAATTTCTGCATATAGTACTGGACGATCTTGCGATCGTACAGTACGATCTTTGGCGGCTGAATTGAGTTTTTTAGGGTTTTTTGAGCCTTTTATTTAAGAAATATCATAAGATTTTGTAAGAGTCTTTGGCAATCATTGTTTCTTCGTTCTTTTGGAGAAAATTTGAAGAGAGGACTTGAAAGGGAAAGAGGAAAGGGTGGAGTTTGAGAGAGGGAGAAGATCATTGGAGGGGGTTTCAAGGGAGTGTGAAGGAGATTTCACACGGTTTCTCCAGCGAGCTTGCACCTCAGTACCATCGGATTTAAGGTTCGTCTTGAAGGAAGTTTTGGGAAGAAGAATATCTCGTTGGTGTCAAAGGACCCGGCTCCTCCACCGCTCTGGGAAGATGGAAGTGATTTTGTAAGGGCTTCTCAAACTAGTTGTGGGGGCTAAAAGAAAATCACTAAAGGTTCAGTGTAATACTCGGAGGGTGCCTTCGGGGAGTGCACGTAGGTCATGGTTTGACCGAACCACTATAAATTGGTGTGTTCTTTCCTTTATTTTTTTTGCACTTTATTTCCGCATTCATTTTTATTGCGATTAATTCTGTGGGTGAAATTGATAATCTATCTTTTTATTATGAATGAAATTCGCTTCCGCATAAAGTTATAAAAAGATATTTCTTTCCATTAAAGAAGTTTTTTTAAAAATCCAATTCACCCTCTTCTTGGCGTATATAGCAATTTCAATTGGTATCAGAGCGGAGTTTCAAAAATAGTGTTTTAGAAAACCTTGAAAAATTTGATCATGACATATCTTGGATATTGTAACATTGCGGAAGGCTGTTGTATTACACGACCACCTTTATTTGAAAATATTTATTTTAATTTTTGGAAAATTCGCATGTCAATTTTTTGCAATCAATTGATTATCAAATATGGCATATGATTCAAACTGGCTATTCTGTACCTTCACGTATGATAGATGGAGTCAAAATTAATATTCATTTTACTGAATGGAGTAGAATATAACAAGTCAATGCTCAACTAAATGCTAAATGCTTGAATTATTTTTTTTGTGCATTAAATTCTGACGATTGCATGAGAATCTCTACTTGTACTACTGACAAAGAAATTTTGAATAGATTATGCATTACATATGAAGGTACTAGTGAAGTCAAGCAATTTAATTTGAATATTCTAATATGTGGTTATGAATTTTTCAGCATGAAATCATATGATACGATCTTAGACATGTATACTAGGTTTATTCAAATTGTGATGTCATTGTATAATTTAGGTAGAGAACTTTCAAACTTTGAAAATGTTAGTAAAATCCTACGTTCTTTACTTGATAAATTTGATGCCAAAGTTATGGCTATATGTGAATCAAAAGATTTGAATGCTTATTCTTTAGACAATCTAATAAGCTCACTCATTGCTTACGAGCAAAGTGTGAGTCAAAGATTTTTGGATGCAGGTGATGAGAAGAATATAGTACTAAAAGACGAAGACACAGATGAATGTAGATTAGTAGATGATGAGAGCAAGTAGATAGCATTGATAACAAATAAATTTGAAAGTCTATTGAAGCACAAGCATAAGCATCAACAGAAGTGGAGCAACGATAAAAATGGTAAAAATATTAAATTTTTGTCTAACATTATTTGCTTTGGGTGTAGGAAACTTGGACATATAAAGTTTGAATTCCCCAACTTAAAAATTCTTCCTGCAAAGGAAAAGAGTAAGAATAAACCGATTGTAATATGAGGAAAAGATAAAAAGAAAAAAAAATATCCTGGGCAGACCTAGCTTCTGAATCATCAGAAGATGAGGTATAAGCATGTTAAAGTTTGTTTGTGTTTAATTTTTTTTTGTTGTGTTTTTGTGTGTTTGTTTATTTGTTTTGTGTTTAGTTTTTATTATATTTTAAGCATAATTTTATGTTTTAGTTTTTTTATTATGTTGTTATTTTTATGCGTTACTTTATCTCTTCTTTTTGATAATGTCAAAGGGGGAGAATGTATTGTAGTTGGTTGTCTTTATGTTTTTTTGTTATTTAACTTAAAAAAAAATAATTTTCTTAATTTTTTAATGTAATTCTTTTAGTGAGGGGGAGTTTAGGAGAAAATATTTTTTTATTTGCAAATTCAACCAATATTATTTGTCATCATCAAAATGGGGGAGATTGTTGCGACTCGGGCTTTCGATTTTATGATTTTGATGATAACAAATAAAATTGATTAATCTTTTATTTCTTCTAGTATTTGTAGTGCATATTTGTTTGTTTGTTGACTAATATTTCAAGTACATTATGCACCATTTTTTGAAGATTTAATGCTCAAGATTGTGTAGAACTAGTTATATTAATGAGTCTGTAATTTTCATTTCTTGAGTCAAGTCTTGTAATGATGTACGTTAGTTTGTTGACCATACAGACATACAGAGGGAGCAAAAAATAATTTTAAATATTTTAATTTTTTTTGTACATCGTATGATACAATCTAGATCGTACTGTACGATCAGGTGTAACATAAATTAATTAAAATATTTTATTTTCCTAAAAAAATATTCTTAAAATATTACTAATCGTACTGTATGAATACCACATCGTACTGTACGATCTGTTATAATTAGAAAGCACGCCATCCTTTAAATTAGGCAAAGACTTGAATTTGAAAAATTATTCTAATCGTACTGTACGATGTTTGAAATATTGCCTAATTTAATCCTATGATTATTCATTTCAAAAGGCTTGATTTTGATATTTTTATTGTACTGTATAAATTGGATCGTACTGTACGAACAATAGAGACGACTTTGGTCGTCCCGTGCTTCGTCCTGAACGAACTGCTCATTTATTGAACTGTTCATACAACACATCATACAGGACATCGTATAGTACGAACTTCAACTGAAATGTTTGAACAGTACTAACTGAACATCGTACAGTACTAACAGGTCAATTTCTGCACATAGTATTGGACGATCTTGCGATCGTACAGTACGATCTTTGGCGGCTGAATTGAGTTTTTTAGGATTTTTTGAGCCCTTTATTTAAGAATTATCATAAGACTTTGTAAGAGTATTTGACAGTCATTGTTTCTTCGTTATTTTGGAGAAAACTTGAAGAGAGGACTTGAAAGGGAGAGAGGAAAGGGTGGAGTTTGAGAGAGGAAGAAGATCCTTGGAGGGGGTTTCAAGGGAGTGTGAAGGACATTTCACACGGTTGCTCTGGCGAGCTTGCACCTCAGTACCATTGGATTCAAGGTTCGTCTTGAAGGAAGTTTTGGGAAGAAGAAGATCTCGTTGGTGTCAAAGGACCCGGCTCCTTCGTCGCATCGGGGAAGGTGGAAGTGATTTTGTAAGGGCTTCTCCGCCTAGTTGTGGGGGCTAAAGGAGAATCACTAAAGGTTTAGTGTAATACTCGGAGGGTACCTCCGGGGAGTGGACGTAGGTCATGGTTTGACCGAACCACTATAAATCGGTGTGTTCTTTCCTTTATTTTTTTCGCACTTTATTTCCGCATTCATTTTTATTGCGATTAATTCTGTGGGTGAAATTGATAATCTATCTTTTTATTATGAATGAAATTCGCTTATGTATAAAGTTATAAAATGATATTTCTTTTTATTAAAGAAGTTTTTTTAATAGTCCAATTCACCCCTTTCTAGGCGCATCTAGCAATTTCAGGCTGGCGGGTGGGGCGGCCAAGGGAGGCCGGCGGCATGGGAAAGGGAATTTCAGTTTAGGGAGGGGATGGGGCAACGAGAAGGGGAGGCCGACAGGTGGTTGAGTGGGATTGGTGTGAAGGTGTAATAGAAAGAAGAAATCGAAAAACCGCGAACCTTGGAATCCACCAAGGTTGACGGGTATTGCTCGCACCCTCACCTAGGGTTTCTCCTCTCAAGAACTCACAAATAGATGAAGCAAGAAAGTGGAATTATCATTCATAATCATCATTAAAAAATAATACAATGACTAGGCTTTAATATATAGGCCCCCAAAGCACAAAAATGTAAAAGACACAAATGCCATTAGGCTATAACATGAGACAAAACCCTCATAAGGGTATAAGTGGAAAACTGAAAAATAAATAAAAGAAATGCACTAAAACATCATAAATAGAGACTATAAATCATAGCCGTCGATCTACGATTCTGCTGATGGTATGTACGTCGAAATCTCTGGTGGATGTCCTCATTAAAAGATGTTGGAAGAGATGATATTTTCTCAAAGGTTTTTGAGAATGAAAAAGTTAGAAGAGTTTGCAAGTATAGATTTAGTGGAACTCCTTATGCTGTTTGGGGAGAAATCCCAAGTTGAAGTATTGCTTGATAACTCGTGGTAGTTTACAAGGAAGCTTTTGAGAGAATGGCAAAACAAGTTCATGAGCAGGTTGAGGTAATTGCACAGTTGAAGTTGGATATGCTAAATGGAGAACAAGCTACTTATAACATGCCTTTAAGAGCGGATCAATGTTCTCAAAATGGTCTTTTAAACTCTACCAACAATAACGCTGCTATTCAGATAAACAAAATATTTACTTAACAACTTGTAGAAGCAATTTTCAAATTTTCCTTTATTTTTAAAAGTTTTGTAGTAACTTATAAAGGTGGTATTAACCTCCGTATATGAATGCTGAAACAAAGGTTCCCATTAAAAATATTATTGATTTTACTAAAACAGTAGCAATAGAATACATTTAAAGCTTGGATCCTACACATAGGGTTGATAACTATCTATTATGTCCAAACTACTATTCATTACATATAAACCTTTTTTGTGGATTGTGAATAGTACTTGATTAGACCGTATAGTACTTTAGCAATAATTGGGCAATCAATTGGAACGCCTCATATTTTAGTAAGTGTATTCTTTTTATTAAATTTAACATGTGTATTAAATATTTTTTTATTGAATAGTCAAATTACTTATCTTTTTATAATTACTATTATTTAGACTATTCGTGAAGAAGATTGACATGCAACATCACATGCAAATTTGTGTAGAGTTCCCTTAGATATCATCATTCTAACGTATATGATGAATTTAATTTTTGAATATGTAGATAGAATTTGGGTTAGTAGTAGCTAATTTTTTTAATCTTTCATTAGTCAATTGTTTTTTTTCTTAAACTTATATAGTTCTATGATATGAAATCAGAACCATTAGTCATGACCTTCTATATGGTATAATAGTAGTGGAAGTTGATATTCGGCACTCTTCGCTTAGTTGACGACACTTATACATCGGTGTTCTTAGTATTGTTTAACATTTTATTCTTCTGTTTTATCTTTTTTATGTTTCTTTTTTACACCAAAGTTTAACAAAAGCGAAACATATCAGCTAACATTTTCCTCTTATGTTATTGATCAAATTTTATACTTCACCGAGGATGAGGATGAGGAACATCAATTGTTAATAACTATGAAGATCTGCCATATTTTTTACCAAATTTTGAATTACATGATGTTTAAATATATTGGGCGTTGCTACATGTTTATTCAAGAGTTGCTTTGGAGTTATCTTGATTTTTTTTTTTAAATATGTTATAGTATGTTGTATTTAGGATGAATTTTGATCATTTCTCCTACATATATGATAATTTTCTAATTTCAATCTGATGTTTATTCTAGGTGGTTTGGAGCACTTGGTCGGAAATTTAGGGAGATTGGTTTGTTGGCTATAACATGCAATGGTGGCAGATGGAGATGGCTTGGTGTAGAAAGCTTGGCTAGTGGTCGGTGGCTGTGAGGAGCTGGAGAGGATATCTTGCTATTTGGGTTGGTTGACGCGTTGCTAGAGAGGGTTGGTTTAGCTGTGAGGGAAGAAGAAGGGTTTGAGCAGCTGGGTTTAAACGTATCAGTTGACACAAATTCTTTCCTGTCGCTTCTAGTCTTTTCCTATTATCTTGAGATCAACATTTTGAAAGGTACCATTGTTGTTTGTTGCTAACCTTTTCAGTTCTCGATTGTAGGTTTGAAAAATAATTTTACTCTACTGTTTATCAATGTTGCATACTCGATATTGATAGATTTTTGCAATAATTATAGTGTAGCACAATCCACATTTCTTCCTCCAGTTGATTAGTTTTTTTCTATTTCTGATGTTCTCTCTAATCTTTTAAATTTAAGATGATTTTTGTATAAGTTGTTTATTTTTGTGAGTATTTGGAGTTCTTAAACTATTGTAATACACACACATACTTGTAGCATTTTTTGCATGTGAAAATTTTCTTTCAGAATTGATTATAATATTTTATTGAAATTTTGAAGAACAATTGGGTGGTCAATTGTTTTTAAGATTGTTGATCCTTCGATTTTATGACTAGTGATTTGTGTTGCAGATCTATGGAAGAAGTATAGAATATAAGATTAAGCATTCTAGTATAGCATTCTCCCAATGATGAAACTTTGACAAAAAAACAAAGTCAGCACATTAATGGTTTGTTAACGAAGTTATTAATTTGTGATTTTCCGTAATTCATCTAATTTAATATGAAATTGATGATTTCGCTTCATTTTTGCAAGAGCTGCTTAATTTCTTATCCAGTGGAGATGGTTGTTGCATTTCAAGTAATATATGTAAAATATTTTGATTGAGTTATCTTACAATGTAAACAAATCTAATAATTATATTTATTTATTACTATTGCAGTGATTCTTATGCACAATGAAAACAAATCAAGAGATGGGGAAGTTATTAAGACTACTAAATGGGAGTTCATTCCTACCATTAGATGCAAGGTGACTTCTCTTATGGGTAGATGATTCTTTTGTAAGAGTTAACTATCTGTTCTATAATTTACTTTTCTTCTTTTTTTGGCCATTTTTATGGGAATCTTTTGTAATGTTTTGTAAATGAATCTATTTTAATAGATTGATCATAAAGCTTGAAGTGGTCTATTTTAGATGGTGAAAGAATGAAATATTATTTAATTTTAGATTTATTAAATATATTTATTTTTTTTATTTGAAAAAAAAGCTTATATAAGTTCTTATATTTGCTGTTTAGAGATTTTATTGGGGATTGACTATTGGTCATTGAGATAGTTTAGAGCAACATAATTAGTTCATATATATAGTTGAATCTTCTTTTTGTTGATTGAAACATATATTGAAGTACCTTTTTCTGTCATTTTACAAAAGTTATTTTATCAAGTTAGTGTTGGAAAATAACATATTTTAGGGCAATTTTAATGAGATTTTTTATGAAGCATCTTTAATCAAATAATTGTATTTAGAAAGCTCATATCTTACGACACCTAATATCTATAGTATTTATTTACATCTTTCATCAAATGAATATGTTAGAAAACGTAATCTATTTGGGCACCTTATGAGTACCATTTAGATAAGATATTCTATAATGTTCATGCACCAAGAAAGTTTTAGTTATTAGAGCACATAAAATTACCCTAACTCCTATGCCAACAACCACCTAAGCGACACTATTGTAAGATGTTCCAATAGATTTTATACCCTAATAAACACTTACTAGGGCATTTTCAAGTGCTATAATAGTTAGTATTGTTTTTAGTTTGATAAATGAGCTACTTTATCATTAACTAACTTGTGCATTAATGACATATTATTCATCTTTTTTACACCCTATAAAGTGTTAGATGTTTATCAAAATTTGGAATATATTTTCTTTTTTTTTTCCCTATCAAGAGTATAGCACTACCATTGCCAGGTCCAAAATCCTAGATGATAAAAATGGAGGGTTGCATTAGGTAGTTGATGGCCACCATAAAACTTATCGAATTATTATGATAAAACTTATCAAATGATTGTGACATGAATAATTTAATACATTGTACTAATACTAGGGTGTTCCCTGTAAGTGACGTGTTGTATGGTTTGAATAAAGTGACAAGTATGCAAGGGCTGCTATAGTGGCGCTCATGCGCAGTTATAAATAGGCAAGGGTTTGCACATGATGAATGGATGTGGGAAAGCAAGCTAGTCCATGAAATTAAAGCTAGGATAAAAACTTGAAATATAGGTTCCCTTTCAAAAAAATTAATAAAATTAATAGATATTATGATTTATAGGAAGATAAATATTCTATGCAAGTGGAAACTAAATAAGTTGGAGAGAAGGCTAAGGTGATTGATAGTTTATGATTTAAACTATTGTATTTTGGTAGTAGCTATATTAGAAATGGTGTGGGTGTGATTATAAAAAAGAGTTTGCTAGATAATATTGTAAAAAATAATAGAATTGGAGATAGAATTATAGCCATAAAGATTGTTATTGATGCTAAGATAATTAATACTATAATTGTTTATGCTCCTCGGTTAGGTTAAGATATGTCTTCAAAATTAAAATTTTGAAATAAATAAAAAGAATTAAAACAAAAGAATATCTCTTGATGAAAGAATTTTTATTGGAGAGATTTAAATGGACATGTTTGTTGAGAGGTAGACTATTTTAAAAGTATTTATGATGGCTGCTGATTTGGAGCGTCTAATTAAGGTGGTAAGATCATATTAGATTTTCTAAGCTTAGGATTTTTTAAATGCTAATACCTTATTTAAAAAAGAGATAAGCATCTCATCACTTATACGAATGAATATAGTAAAATTCAAATTGATTATTTTCTTATAAGAAAAATAAATCATTTAGATTGTAAAGATTATAAAATTATTCCGAGTGAATGTTTGTGACCAAACATCGCTTATTAGTTTTAGACTATAATTAGATGGAGCAAAAATAAAAAATAAAGTAAAATATTGTTCTAGAATTAGATATGAGCATTTAAAGAATATTAATAAAAAAAAATTTTGAGAGTAAGATTGTAGATCATAGAATTTTGTCTGCGCATGAGGAAGCTAATTTTATGTGAGAAAATGTAGTTAAAGCTAATTTTATGTGAGAAAATGTAGCTAGTGATATTAAGAATATTGTAAAAGATGTGTTTGGAATATCAAAAGAAAAATATCCTATTAGTAAAAATAGTTGGTGGTGGAATTGAAGTGTGCAAGAAAAGATAAAAAATGTGAAATTTTGTTATAAAAATTAGTTCAGTTGTAAAACTTCTGATAATTGAGAAATAAATTAAGAGTCCGATAAAGAGTATAAGAAAGAAATATGTGATGCAAATATTTTAGATTTTAATAATTTTTATACTAGATTAGAAAATATGGAGGTTGAAATATATATGTATAAATTAGTCAAATAAAGAGATACGAGTAGTTAAGACTTAGTTCAAGTGAAGTGCATTAAGCATGAAGATTAGAAAGTGCTTTTATTGACATATTAGTAAAATTGAAGTTTAAGATGCTTTAAAGAAAATGAAGTGTTGAAAAACTGTTAAGACCTGATTATATTCTAATAGAGATGTGGAAATGCTTAGGATATGAAGAAATTTCTTGGCTCGCTAAACTTTTTAATATTATTTTGAAGATAAAAGATGTCAGATGAGTGGAGAATGAGTGTGTCGTTTCTTATTTTTTAAAATAATGGTTATGCACAAGATTATGTGAATTATAGAGAAATTAAATTAATTTGTCATACTTACAAACTATGGGAGAGAGTTGTGGAGCATAGGTTGTGGCATGATACTAATGTTTCTCAAAATCAATTTGGATTCATGTCGTGTAGGTCTACTATGAAAGCTATACATTTATTGGGAGGTTTGATAAAGAAGTATATAGATAATAAGGATGATGCACATATGATATTTATTGATTTAAAGAAATCATATGATAATGTTCCAATAGAAGTGCTATGGAGAGTTCTGAAAAAGAAAGTGGTTAATAATATTTACACTCAAGTCATTAAAGATATGTATGTAGGAGTTGTTATTTGTGTTGAAACACAAGGTGGGTTGACCAAGTATTTTCATACTTCAGTCGGATTAAATCAAGGATTAGCCTTATGCCCATATCTTTTTTATTTAGTCATGGATGTTCTCACTACTCTTGTGTATGCTTTTTGCTCATGATATTCTTCTTGTTGATAAGGCTATAGAGCGAGTTAAAAAAAACTTGAATTATGGAGGTCAACCGTAGAGTCTAAAGGTTTTGTTTGAGTAGATCTAAAATTGAACATTTTGAGTGTAATTTTAGTTGTAAATCTTGCGGGGGGATTGCGACTTTGGGCGATCAACTCATTAGTAAGAGTACACATTTTAGATATCTTGGATCTATTGTTCAGAGTGATGGTGAAATATATGAAGATATTATAAGTAGAATTCAAGTTGGATGGTTGAAGTGGAGGAATTCATCGAGCTTATTTTTTTTTTATTTTTTATTTTTTTGAGAAAATGCAAAATTGCATTAATTATAAAGGAAAGGACAACCTAATACAAACTTGGAAAAAGAAACTAATGGTTCCTTTTTTAACATTAAAAAGGGACCTTATTGAACTTAAATTTATTAATTTAAACTTAATATAAATGATATGAAACCTAATAATTCCTATTTTGAAACTGTTGAGATGCAGGGGATACCAAAGAATTAAACAACCCGAAGGTTGATTAATATCCCAGAGTTCCCATCCAGTTAGAGAATAAGACTTAGTAAAGATCCCATAATCAAATAGAATAAGTTTAAAATGACAAATTTGAAGAAAAAATAAGCAACAAAAGCTAATAGGGAAATTACATTCCAACAATGAATTCCAAAAATCACTTAAGAATATTTTTGATAAATATTCTATAAGCTTTTTCCAATTTCCAAAGTCAGAAAATTGATGATGGCATTAATCCAACCTTTTGATAATTTGTCTCAACTTCAAGTAACTATCCACTTTGTTATTGTCACCTGGATTACCATCAAGCATGTTAATGGGGCAAAAGGGACGAAGAACCTTTTATGCCATTCTTCACTTTGTTTTCAGCTATCTTCCTTCTAGGTAGATCTTTGACCGGTCCTAATGCTTGAAGTTGTTTGAACAATGTGTGCTTTGATCCCATGGACTTACATTCCTTGGCAACTTTTATAAGAGAAGTTTTCTTAAAATCCAAACAAACATCCAACAATGGAGAAGAATCTCTTAATAAGCCAATATTGTTCTTTACTTCAGTTTTTGTAGTTGAAATAACATCAGTATTAATGCTAGAAACATCATCCAAAACTTCCCCTGAGAATCTGAATTTTTGAATTCAAATTCAGGTTTGTTAGAACCCTGAATTTCAGCAATCTGATATGGATCGGTTGGGACAGCATCTATTGAATCTTTAAAACCTCATTCCTTATTATCTGCCACACTATCTGGTAATTTGAATTCAGAATTTGAATTCAAATTGCTAATTGATCCATAGATTCCCAGAAAAATAAAAGGAATGGAATATTTTTCTTTCACGGGTTCAGCCATAGCTTCCTGATTTTCAGCATTTTGTGTTGAATCAACAACTTCAGCTCTTACCTCCACACTTTCCTCCACAATTCCTAGAATTTTGAATTCAGAATTTGAATTCAAATTGCTGTTGGGCTCCAAGTTATTACTACCTCCATCCACGAGACCAGCCAAACGAAATTCAGGAATTAAATTCTGAATTTCCTGATTTTGTTCTTCAGTAAAATTCTCCTCCCTTTGTGGGATCTTAATTTGAAAATTTTCAGAATTAACATGATGGACGGTTGGATATACACCTCCTTGTCTAACTGCCTTTCTTTCTTCTTCCTTGTTTTCAGCAACAATCTTAGCTGTGAATTGATCTTCAGCAACAGTAGAATCTGAATTCCCGTCTCCTTCAACATCTACCATGGCAACTCTTTTGATAACACAACCATCTTTTGGTTTATCCATGGTTGAGACATTTTTAAAAAACATT